AGTAGCAGTGGCACCTGATAAATTATATTACTTGACTGATTTATGCCTTATGTCCTCCCGTTCAAACCTAACAAAGAAGATTCAATTATCCAAGCAGCCTGGGTTCATGACTTTGGCAAAAGATGATATGGAGCCAAAATTCAAGTATCCTGAATCATTTCTATATGACAGCAAGAATCACTGTTAAAAGTGCAGCAGGTAACAAGGATAACCAAAGATTGCTTCAGTGCTGTCACTTTCCAAAGATATTCTGCAAGTATTTGCCAGTATCAACGAAGCATAAAACTAATATATCTTCAGGCCTATATAATTATAACTTATAAAAACCTTATAAACCTTCAAAACTTACTTAGTAAAATTTAAATGGTAAAATGCAATGGCAAACATTAATGCCAAGCAAAGATAATACATTTTAAAAAAAACAAACAGTATGCAAATGGAGGATGCTGTAACCACTGAAGTTCCACTGAAGAGCTGCTGTTTGTCAATCAAACTTGAATGTGTAATCAAATTGAGTTCTAACTTCCACAATTCATTTTGATCTTATCTTAGAATACCACAGTTTAACTTCAATAAGACAGTATAAGAGAGAACATCCCCCTATGTACTCCTCCTCACTAACACACATCACCAATTATTAGCACATGTTTTATTCTGTACTAAATTCTGAAGGCACTACAAGTTTCCTGTAGGTAACATTAGGATTTAACCAAACTCCACAGATTTATTGTGGCTGCACCCGCTCACCCCCACTCCCCCCATTTCCCCCCAAAAAAGTAAAAAAGCAAATAACAGTCTATTTCAGACTGCTATTGAAATTATATGGGTAGTCTTTAATTGTTTTTTGAAGGTATTTTGGGAGCTAACCTCATCTAACTTTGGCCATGTCAAATTCAAGTGTTGTCTAAGCTCATCATTGCTGTTGCCCTTTGTAAACACCATGGAAAGAAAGTAGTACCTCTAGAGGGTGATTTGTGCCCATTGCATCAAATGCTTATCTTCAGGTGGATCTTTAATTTCTCGGGGTTTTTAGCTGTCTTTGAGACTACAATGGAGTTAGGTGAGACAATTTCAACCCAGACAAATCAGGTAACCTCATACCTAGTGAAATTTTTATCCCTGGATTAAACACTTAAGTTTTCAATACAATTTATAATGCTTATATATCAGATAATCCTACAGAGAGTAAATAAGTATGTTTCATGTAGATATTTACATGATTCATAAGCACACGTTAAAGCTTATGGTGATGTAACTTCTAGACTGTACAGACATTTGCATTAAGATATGCAACAATGTGTACAGTCTCTCTCAGTTTATTTGAAATAGCTGTCCCTTTCTTAACCGAGCACTACATAAGAACCCAGAGGCTAAGAACTAAACATATTTTCCTTTCCTCTTAATCAAACTTCAAATCAGGAAAGCATGAACACATTGTGCATATGCTACTGCTTGGTTGATTGAGATAGAAATCTTAACCACACTCAGAAGGAGTCTAGTGAGTTTCTGGCAAGAAGTTCTACCTCTAAGCTCAGGCTGCAAAGAAAGTTTGCTTTGCTGGTGTCTGACAGTGAAACATGATTCTGTTTAACCTGGCATGACTGTAGTTGCACAGTGGGAGATTATAGGCAATGAGAAAATATCTAACAAATGGCTCTCTTCTGCAAAGAACAGAGAACTGATCTCTGCAGAACACACCTTTGGTAATGAGGTATGCCAAGCCTGCTGTAGCAGTATTAATCTTTCTATAAAAGCCAGCAAATCGCTACATGGAGATAATGAAAAGAATGTTTCCGAGTATCCAGGCTCTGTTCAGGTGGAAGTAAGTTATGATGTTTCCTTGCTAGCTAGCCAGAAATTGTGAAGGTGTCCGCCAAAATTCACGGTTTTCCATTTTCATGATATCTTTCTGTTCCAAAAGTTACAGCTACGCTACATGAGTCTATTCATGTATTTTCTCCTCATGACATTAAGGAGCAGTACAGGGGTGGTGTGTTGACCCAATTCCAAACCTGGTAGCAGGCAAGTGCTCTGAAATCCTGCAGTTTAGAGTCAGTAAGTTTGATCACATCAGCAAATCAAAGCAGTCCCCCCCACCCCCAAATATTCCACTCCCCACTGTTCTGCCATCCATAATCAGAAAATGCCTAAGCAAACAAGTTCAAAATTAAATGTGGCTAAAGGAGACATAACAGTAACTCTTTTCATCAGAAGCATATCGGTTAATGCAGCCACTTGGAACACTGATTGGGTCTGAACTTTCATTTCAGAATAATTAAAGACCTACTGGCTAAAAAGAATCAAAGCATGAGCACAAATTAATGACAAAATTATGAGGGCACTCACTAAGAAGAATGGACAGACCTATAATAGTTTCTGCCCTGTAGACTACTCAACATACAGCCTTTAAATATTCAGTAGTTTTGGGGTTAGTCAGCAAAAACTCTTCTCCCAGATGAACATTTCAATTGCTTTCCAACAGAGTCACTCCCACACTTTGGCTTAATGATTAATTATTTCCAAATGAAGCAAAGCAGCAGCTTCAGCAAGATGCAACAATTAAGCTACACCACCAGGAAATTCAGGAATCGGATGTTCAGAAGTGAAAGAAAAATCTTCAGGCTAATCAAGCAAGGAATGCCTCTGAATCCACACACCCTTGTCTCCTGCACTCTGCCTGAACGCTTTATTTAACAAAAGGTAGGCACTGTTACTCCTGACTGTATTCTGTAAGAGCTTATGTAGCTAATTTCAGGAAAGGATTTACGATCATGCCTTCAGAGCTGAGAAAGGATGCTCCATGCTTAATTTTCTTGCAGCAGTGTGATCTAGGACACACTGGCTCTTGCACTGGTTTGCCTGCTAACCTGCTATCTAAGTAGTGTGTCGGCCTTCAAATACTCCATTCTCTAGTGCCGATACCTCGGCTGTCAGACAAGAATATACCCAGATTCTTCTGTAGATCTACCTCTAGTTGTTGTGATAACTCTCCTAATTCTGTACTATCTTGTTGGGAAAATATTGTCTTTCCCATTTAATCTTATGAAATTTTAAAAAGGTGTCACAAATGTCAACGTCCTGGAAGACAGCAAAACGCACCACATCCAAAAGTCTTGTTTAGGACGAGGAAGGTAGGTGATACACCAATCCTAGCAGAGCAAAATCTTTCCTAAAAGCTAGTTTGAAACTTTATTTGGATGGAAACAGGAGAATAGCAAAAACATTTGTTAAGGGTTGCTCCATGCCAAAATCTGCCTTCTTATCCGGACCTAAAAAATTAACATTGGAGACTGCAGATTACCTAAAATGGGAATGACATAGAGTATGAAACTGTCTCATCTGGAGTACCATGGATTTAATTATTTCAAGCAGTTCACTACTGTGTATTCCTTAAAAACATTACCACCATCCTGCCCCCTCCAAAGAAACACAGATGTCACGTGAATCAATTAAAGTTTTGCACAGGATAAAGGGCATAGGGGAATCTTGAGGGAGACCTCATTACAGCTTTCCAGTATCTGCAGGGGGCCTACAAGGGTACTAGGAGAGGACTTTTTACAAGAGCCGGTAGTGATAGGACAAGGGGTAATGGGTACAAATTGAAATCAGGGAGGTTTAGCTTAGATATCAGGAAGAAGTTCTTCCCGGAGGGGGTGGTGAGGCATTGGAACAGGTTGCCCAGCGATGTTGTGGATGCCCCATCCCTGGAAGTGTTCAAGGCCAGGCTGGATCTGGCTTTGAGCAACCTGGTCTAGTGGAAGGTGTCCCTGCCCATGGCAGGATGGTTGGAACTAGATGGGCTTTAAGGTCCCTTCCAACCCAAACCATTCTATGATTCTATGATTCTATGATTCTTCTAGCATCTTCTCACAGAAGCTTAAGCCCCCTACCAATACTAAAAACTTGCCACTTAAACACAATACAAGCAGGAAATGCTTAACCCTGATTTTCACAATAGTTGACCTGTCTCAAAAAATTATTGAGAATTAGAAAGCCCAATGACTCAGAGACTATTCTCTCTTTGTGGCCATAGATAAGCCAAATGCCTTCAGTTATACATTTTTTCAGCTAACCTGGGTGTTGTGAGGATAAGAAAGGCTATGTAAGAGGAAAGCAGGTTTATAAATATTAAAATGTAATAGTTAAAAAATCAGTATTTTCTTGAATTAGATAACTAAAATGTCACACTCAAGAAGAAACACTGATATATAGTTAAAACTGGATAATTAATGAAATGCATTAATATATTTAAAATGGGATAATTAATGAAATGTATTATTAAAATTACAGTAACTGCCAGAAATTATCGTAGTTTTTATTTTATATATACGTACACCTAATATGTATTCAAAACTGTGTATTACTGACAGGGAAAGAAAAAAATTCTGAAATAATTCCAATTTAAAGTTGGAAGTTAAAAGGATTTTGAAGGAGTTCAGTTTACCATCCCAGAAATAAACAGAACTTTAAATTTCTAGCAACAGCATAACATAAACTTTTATAATAGAAATTGTCTATTTCATAAACTCCTTATTTAGTTAAACACCTGCATGAATCTTACAGTCATTACTTTAGAATTACTGAGCAGAGTTCTTCTCAACATCAATACTACATATTCTAGCTAAATATTTATCACATACATTAATGTTGCACAAATTCTGCCCCTGTGAATACCTGAGAGCTTATAAGGAGGTGACAAAATCTTCCAAGAACTGGGCTGCCATGTCGTGGCTCGGAGATTATTGCAAAGAATATTAAAATAAACTGGCAAATCTCATAATCAGTGGTAAGCGAGACTTGATTAGTCCAAATGATGAAGCTACGCCCAGAATAAATAAAAGCTAGATTCCCCGTTGTGACCACTATGTCCTCCTTTTCAGTTATTATCAGTTCTGTTACGCAAAACACCAGCAAGCAAAAACTTCCACTCTGTGCTGAAAATGGAACTGCAGACATCTCACTAGTAGGAGGCATCGTGCAGCCGCTCTAGGTTTACTTACCATCTGTCGAGCATCCACTGGTGCCATCGCTGGAACAGTAACGCATTTCAATCCTTTGCCTTCCTACCTCTAGCAAATTTGGGTCAGGCAAGCGCGCTTTGCATGTGTATCGGAAACGTTGTTCATAGTGGCCACCGTTGTCTGAAATATTGACTGGGGTCCAAGGCGTCCAGGGAGTTGTCTTTTTTAACTCTGGACAGGCGTTGGTGTTACAAGGCTGATATTCCTGAAAGCACAGGGTCACAATTAATATAATAATTAAATATGACTTAACAAACCCTCCACAAACCCTCAAAACAGACAAAATGCCTATCAATAAAAAAAGCCTCTGATGGTTTTTCCAACATTTTCAGTAGCTGTAATCATCAATAAACTTCTTATTCCAATCTCAAACTGAAAGTGGTTTTTTTCTGCTTCTAGGCAAGCAGAGTATCACACTGTTAAAAGAATAATATACCAGTACAAATTAGATCTATTACATCCATAAAAACAGTAGGCTGCACACTATAAGTACCATGATAAAGCACATCCTTTATAAATTAATAGCTCCAAATAAGGTGTAGCTAAATATGTTAAAGCTTTTAATTAAGAGGAATTGTGATAAAACTGCAAGCAGAAGACACAAACCAGTGAATAAGGAAATTGGTAAATCTAATGGCATATGAATAAGAAAACCAGCATCCATTTTGTACCTTGCTTATGTATGACAAGGGGACAACGGACAGAAAATATTTTCTATTACAGAACCTGGCTCCCCGGGGTGCATGTTAACCATTGCTCCATCACTGCTACACCTGCCGTCAGAAGCAAATCTCCTGCAGGCTGATATGCACCAAAGGGGAGAGACCACACCTCAAAAACAAATGCAGAACTGACAGTATTCTCAAGCCCCACAGTATATGTCTTCTGAGGAGCATCATCAAGACCTGTGGCTCCTGTCCATTCATGTCCCAGAGCACAATACACTTCAGCTGACACTTTGTAAACTATATGGGTGAAATAAAGCAACCATTAAATAGCAGAATGAATTCACATTGACAAATTATAAGAGTAAGAAAGAAATAGGTATCAGTGGGACAATTTTTAAATGATGTCTCTACCTCTGACCTCTTAGAGAGATACCTGCTGAAAAGGAGCCTATTAGCTAAGTTTGTAATTCCACTAAATGCTAAAAAATATGGACTCAATAGAAATAATAGCTGTATCACACAGTTTTTTCTTCTGTAACCCCTACCTCAGCTGATGCCACCAGTTTCCAACAAGCAAAGATCACCTGCTCCTTTCCCATGGAGATAGCAGTCCACTACTTCTTCTCTCAGATGGTCTAACATTAACATATCCAATGAGGCTGGGAACAAGGCCTCCTAACACGTATTTTGGTTTAAAGGCTGTGTTGCTATTTCAGATCTAAAAAGCAGTTTGGTTGTCTGAAAGCTTTTCCAATTTTCCCAACTGTTAGTGTTGGAAAAAAACATTGGTCTTCAGAAACCCCTGCCCCACTAACACAGCAAGTCACCAGGGAACCCAGTGCCACGTTCAAGACTCCTATTCTGAGGCCAGGTGGATATGTGATAAAATTTCTGTTTTCCTAGTTTTGTGGCAGATGAGGCAAGAAAGAGCTCTTTAGCCCAAAGACTTCAATTCCCTCCCCAAGGCTGTGCAAAGTCCCTCCCCACCACAAAACCTGGCGGTCACTGCAACGATTACCACATGGGTCGTACTGAGGGGCCATCTATGAAAGAGGATCTCTTTAGAGCACAGAGGACTGATCAACCTTTATGGGATCTGAGTTTCAACCTTGACTGGTTTCTGGACCAGAAGACAACAAAGAACAACTAAACTATCTGGTCCTGTGTACAGCAGGGGAAGTAATTTCTTCATGACTCTGCTAGGCAACTGTTTAAATCATGTATGTTTTAGGCTGAGGACAGAATATGTACATCTGTTCTAATCAGGGCACATCAACTGTATAAAGAAAATCACAAAAATAACAGATCCTAGGAACCACCCTGCTTGCTATCCTAACTAACTAGTCACCCCCAACATGTAGTCCCCTCCAGTGGCTGGATTACAGTCCAGCTTTTAGCAAGAGCGCTTTGTCTTTCCCTCTTTAAAATAATAAAAAAAAAAAGTTGTCTAGCACTGATGAGTCTATCACCTCCCCACATCAGCTGTTCCACTATTTAGTAATCCTCAAAGCTAACAAATTGCAAGTTAATTCAAAGCTGCATTTTCCCCTTAATTTAATTTTCCAGTCACTGAATTTTGCTGTGCCTTTATCCACGATATTAAAACTGTTCCTTGTCCCATACCTACAAACATATTTTCCATGCCCAAGTACACATGCATAATGATAAACTAAGTTGAACTTCTTAAAGCTACACAGGATTTAAAACCTGATTTCCAGGTTCTGTGCATACCTTTGTCCTCCTTTTGTCCTATTTCCTTATTTTCCTGGACATCAAAGTCTGGACACCAAAATTTGACTTGGCACCCTAGAAGCAGTCTTATCAATGCAGCATGCAGAAGCAATCATGACCCCGTTCCACTTGAGAGTCTGAGTTTAATACATATGTTATTGAATTAGTGCTTTTTCCTTCCACAACATTGCACGAAGAGCTTAAGTAGACCCAATTATCTTTGATAGCCTGTTCTTCTCTAAATCACAGCTTTACAACTACATACAATTTCCTATCCCACACAAGAGGATAGTGTTTGGCAATATTAACATACGTTCTATTAGCTTCTGCAGTTATCTAATGTATTATTTACTACCTCAACAAACTCTGGCATGGTCAAGTTTTATTGAAGATGTCTTATATCACTGTCTAGACTGTTGATAAAAATGTTGAGTGCTATTGACCCAAAAGCTGATTCCAGGCAGACCCTGCTAGACACATCGCAGTCATTTATATCTGTCCATTAACACCACATTTTTCAACTTGTCAGTAAGCCAGTTTTTAATTCATTTAACATTTGCCACATATTTCAGTTTTCCAGATCAAAGTATTTTCTGTTGCAAAGACAAAAGTCTTGGCAAAATTCAGTGACAGTCTGGGAGAAGTGCTGTATCACTTTCAAACATCTTGAAACACAAGCTCTTTTCAAGTAGCACATAAGCAGAAATAATTACTACAGTGTTCATTTCAGGACAGTCACAACAGTCCAAAAGTTTCAGTTTCTTGGTGGCTGTTGATTTTTGTATTGATATTTTTCAATCAAAAATAAAAGCTGCTTTAAATACAAGGTTTTTACAGGATATGGCGTAGACAGGTGAGGGTCATGAAAAGCAGATAAGCAATGAACCCTTATGTGAGATAAGCAATGAACCCTTTGTCAAATAAAAATAGGGAGTAGAGGAAGAAGTTAATTTAGTAGGGATGTACTGAAAGTCACTTTGCTAACAGACAGGTGAGGGTCATGAAAAGCAGAATGTGTGAGATAAGCAATGAACCCTTTGTCAAATAAAAATAGGCAGTAGAGGAAGAAGTTAATTTAGTAGGGATGTACTGAAAGTCACTTTGCTAACACACATCTGAGATGAACACATCAGCTCACTCGTTTCTAGAAAGACAGACAAGCAGTAACCAGTGTGCCCCGGCATGTGTAGTCCCTCCAGACACCCTAATGGAAGGTATACTCATAAGTTGCTGCATGAGCCACAAAATACAGGTGTTCCTTGAGAGTCTCTGCAGGGGCCATTTGTTACTTTTTCTGTTCTCAGTTTGCTGTCACCCCTGTCTGTTCAACCACTGGATAGTACCCATGAAAGGCTCAGAATGGAAGGGGAAACAAAAGGACATGTAGATTATGCAGAAATTATTCACAGCAGTAAATAATCTCCCTTTGAGAAAATTCAGAGGAATATCCTAACAATGGATGACTCCATGAAGTTCTGGCACTAATAATGGCCTGGCAGAGCCTGCTGGCTTCTTTCACAAGCAGGGAGTGCTGCACTGCTCTACCAACCACCACCTCTGCTGCAGAGGAGTAGAAAATCGCACGGTGCCTGATGGAAGCATTGATATAATCTGATGCTACAAAACTCCAGTATAAGCAGAACAATGATCTTGCTCTGAATGGTCTCAGATTTGGATGTAAGTAAAGGAGGGGAGAGAACAGGCACAATGCAGATCACACATGGTTATATTTAGTGCTGATAGCTGATAGTATGATTTGAAGGCTCTGTCAGGGACTGGGACTATGGAAACTGCCATGTCTGCTTGGATTATCTTCCCCCTCTCACCCTGTCCAATGCTTGAACGATTTACTCAAGGGGGATTTCAGGAATATCATAGAATCCTAGAATGGGATCTCTCCAAAGCAAATCGATCAGCTAGAGTCATGGATAATAATAATAAAGCAACCACATAATGGAACAAGAGTCTCAGATGAAACACTGAGGTCTCAGCAAAACAGTGGTAAGAAAGAACCAGAAAAGCAAGAGAAGTATTCTGCTTCCATCGGGCTGTTGGGAGGAACCAAGACAGTGGCTGCCAAACCACCTCATACGCACCACGTGGACTGAAGGAAGAGATGGGATCGAGCTGTCCTGGGATGGGCCTCTAGACACCCACAGAGGAGAATTTCAGAGGCTCACACGATGGGTTCAAGTACATTAGTTCTTAGAGTACACTTGTGGACTCAACAATAATTATTTGAAGCCACTTGGAGACTCCAAAAATAGCACTGTATAGTTAAAACAATCACATTTTCAAGGTTCTTTTTGCACGTTGTCCTAACACTTGAGGCCTAATTCACTATATTGTGGCTTTTAGTTTAGAGTGGATTTAGTCAGCTGAGATTGTTAAATTTATGCCTGGCTATGTCTGGAAAAGATGCAGTAAGACCTTTAATGACTAAATTTAAGGTGACAGATCAACAGTTAGTTGGGAATTTTCCACAAAGTACACAAATAAATACCTAGATCACAAAATACATGTTTATGAAAATGATAAATTAAAAAATTATCATGTCACATATAGGTGGTGTGCTGGGTTCAGCCAGG